CACACACACACACACACACACACACACATACAAAACCGATGTTAAAATATTAATGCACGTGTTTAGTGGTGTATTCATGTTTCTGATATGTACACAATATCTTTAGACTTCAATACGAGTGTGCGTGCTCTTGCACACATTGTGACTGCATTATTACGTTTTAAAACATTGTTTTACAAATAATATACATGGCTCGCCCTCTAGCGTACATCCCTCTTTGTAAAAGCTCAGCACAACGTGCACTTTTAATTTAATTAAAAGAACGACGAGCATGAGATTTCAACGTCCCCGAGAATCAATTGTGGCATAATGTAGATCATTACAACCCGAGTTAAAGACAAGTAATAGTTTTAAAAAACTACAGTGAAATGGAATGAAACATCATCCGTTGCTGAGTGCACGGCATCTCCCATTAGCATTGTGCCAAGATGTAAAGATCGCTGCAGAGCACAAAAAGAAAGAACAAGACAGAATAGATCATGTCTAGACTGTTGATTACAACATAATTTATCGAACATCTCATTGGCTTTAACAGCGTAAAAAATCAGTGAAAACAGCTGCAGTAATGACGCATTCATGCATTGAATATTCATTGAAAGAAGTCAGATCGGATACAAACGTTTATGCCCGCATAATCAATTTTGTTAATCTGCCAGAGCATGGTGAATAATGTGGGCAACGCCCTTGATCCTATTCCCAGACTTTGGCATAGCGTCATAATGGCTGAATAGGGCAGGGCTCGCCAAAGTTTTTCATAGTGGGGGAGATTGCCAGGCTATGATTTTGTTCTTAACAATGCAGTGATTACATAGAAAATAAAAACAACCAGTTTGTTGATTTATCAATACAAACACATACACACACACACATACACACACACACACACACACACACACACACACACACACACACTCACACACACTCACACGCACACGTAGCCTACACATAAATACATAAAGGCAACAGAAATATAGTCGTTTGTGAAATTCCTGTGTGTGGGCGGTCGGACTCGAATGGGGAGTCTAGTTACCGGTCGGAAGTATAATATGATATGACATATTTGTCCCCTTAGAACCAAGTAAGCCCGTGAAAGATTAGCTAGACGCCATGAAGTGTATAAGAAGCACGTTCAGTTTACACTGTAGAGTTAGATGAAACAACTACATTACTTTGGTGCTCATGTTCTGAAAGAGAGAGAGAGATGCGGG